AATAATTTCAAATTCATCAGTTTTACCATCTGGGGTAGTCACTTTTGCCCTTGTTTCCCTATAGCAGTCTTGTATTGCATCTACAATTGTATCTGGGACACCATATGCCTTTACTATTTTAAGCGTTTTCCCTCTGTGGATGGTGTCGGAAGCTTTCTGGAAATCTATATGTTATTATTTCTGATAAGTTTTCTTCATTATTTCCCTCTAGAATTCTTCTGAGAGCAAGGAATTGGTCTGTAGTGGACCTATTTTCTCTGAATCCGCATTGGTTCCGGGTCTCAGTTTGCTATCAAGATGGGGCCTAATCCTGATAAGTAACATTCTATTGTAGGTTTTTGGCAACACGTGAACTTTAGCTGATTCCTCTATAATTGGAAGTGACACTCAAGTCTCCTGTTTTTGGCACTGGGATCAGATTTAATATTGACCACTGGTTTGGCTTTTTCCTGTTGAGTAGGCCAACATTTTTACAAACTCAAAAGCACAATTTTACTATAAACGATTTATTCCTTTTGTATATAATTAAGAATATTATTATCAATATTACTTACATACATAGATTCCTGTGTTTCCTAATTTCAAAAAAAATATAGTTAGTCAGTTGAATTTTATATAGCCGTTATTAAACAATAATTGTACAGCCTTTGACACGGATAGGTCTGTCTATTTCGACTAATTTAAGTAGTGATAACACAAGTTTACGAACTCCGAGGTTACTTGATACAATCTTGCCATGACATCATGATAATGATAAATTAAGGAAATCACATTATGTTGGTGAAATAAAAATGCTAACTAATGTTTTGTGTGCTTCCTATCTCCTTAGTCTGATTTCATCTTAAGTTAGACGATTGTATTTCCACTCACAATAGTGTAGTCGTAATAGGTCTACTACTTGACTACTTGCACAAAAGTGAAATTTAAAAAAAAGGGGAGAATAGGAAAAACCCCTAGATTGATTTAAAAAGTATTGTACATGCAAGGAGATGATTGAATTGGAGTAACTGTTTTAAGTGTATCCATGAAGGAACATGGTTTATCATTTGTTTTCATGGTTCGAATACGTCACAAGGATTACGAGTACCAGAATAAATAGAAACAAAAATTCAGGGGCAGATTTAATGGGGCACAGCCGGCCTACGCTCCCTATTTATTTCAGAATTTAAAAGTGGAGGGAAAAAATTATATTCAAATTTAAGTCTGAAATTGCCATTTCCGGACAACTAGAGGTGCCATAATCATAAAATGTCTTACCTCAGCCCCATCCATGGTGGGCAACCATGGTGGCCTCAGGTGGTCTACACTCCATCTGTAAAAGTCACTTTGAACTTATATTCCGGAAAATATATGCCCTACTTTAAGCCAAATAATACACCACTATATGTTCACAGCAAATCCAACCACACGCCGGGAATTTTAAGAAACATACCAAAAGAAATCAACAAACGCCTATTGGAGGTTTTTTACGACAAACAATCATTCGACGACGAAGCACCACTGTACCAAAAAGCTCTCAACAACACTGGATACACCGACACTCAGAAGCTGAAGTTTGGTCCACCACAACAACCACGGACACTGCCATGTACCTCTCCCCCCCCCCCCCAAAAAAAGCCCGCACCAGAAATATAATTTGGTACAATCCACCATATTTGAATAATGTTGCCACCCAACGTAGGGAAAACTTTCCTTTGTATACTGTATGAGTCAAATATTGAAGCTACGAATATTTTACGAAGTTTGGTGAATTCTATAAGTTATTTTATAGACATCAAGCTACTGTAATATGATTTCATATTTGTTGCAATTTCCAGTGGCGGATCCAGGAATTTGAAATAGAAGGGCCCAGTGAGGGTACTTTCACAGATAGAAGATCTATACTAACTCAGCCCCACCATGGTTAGGGTTGATTTAAGAAAATTTGTGATTATGGCACCTCTAGATGGCCGGAAATTACAATCTCAGACTTAAAATTTAAATAACTTTCTCTATTATCCACAGATTTCCGAACAAAGTCGAAGTTGAGATTGCTTCCACACCACCTCAATGAATTATTTATCATGAGGATTATCCCTGATATAGGTTTAACGACGAAACCACTTTTTCCCCCGATGGATAAAAATTACCCTTCTATGTAGCTCGGAAATAAGTCTCCAACTGTGGCGGTTCCAGGAATTCGAAATAGAGAGGTTCCAGGGAGGGTCTTGGGCAAAAAGAATGTCCATCCGCCTCAGCCCCACAGCTATAGTGGGGCTGAACAAATCATGAATATGGCACCTCTAGATGGCCGGAAATGGCACTCTCAGATTGAAAGTTGAATACAATCTTGTTTTTTTTTGTTTTGTTTTGTTATTTTTTTTTATAATTTTGAAAAAAATAGGAGGATGGGGTCATCTTGCATCTTCGTGGTTAGCATAAAGAGAACTAGAACGTCGCTTCAATAAGAGTGCCTACCTCACCTCCATATGCCTAATGCAGGCGATTTTTTCTTCATGCTCGAAGGTGGGTTTCAAGGAAACTTTACAGACGCACGTATACAGACGTCAACCAACATATTTTGGTTGCTCAACTCAAAAAAGGAA